AGTTTCTATTGAAAAGATTCACTGGATATTCCAATGGTGAGTAAATTAAATTACATTGAAATTTTTGTGGATTTAATATCTCAATTACTAATATTTATTTTTGTATGAATTTATGTTGGATTTTTTTTTCGGCCATATTTCAACCATTAAAAAAATTGTCACTGAAATTCGGAAAAACAATGAAAGTTCCATTGAAAAACTAGCTGCAGTGGCGAATCCAAAATAATTTCATGTTAAGAACATTATCTAATTAATACAAAAAGTATTGCATCAAAACAACATAATGACATTACAATTTATAAAGTATACTTTTCTTAATTTGTCAACTTTCTCATATGTAATACTTTTTTTAACACATCAATACAATCACAATAAGTTCAATAATATTAAAAAAAAGCATAGTTTTTCTCAATTCGACATAAGAAAATCATAAAAAAAAAATACATTTTTCAAAATCTTTTTATGAACAAAAATTTTATGTTGTAGTATAGTTGACTCGACAATATAATAGATGATTGTATAAATTACGAATATATAACTAGAATTCTACATGCACTTAAAAAAGACTTAAAATATATTTTCTAAAATTAGATAAAAATTATGTCGCAAAAGAGAGATAATAAGATATCATCAAGAATAAAAAGAAAAGAGAGAAATAGAGCGTAAAATTGTAAACTTTGATATCATATTTTCTTTAGTTGAGATACCGCATTGATGTTATAATTTTAATAACGTTATGAGTTGAATTAAACAATAATTGGTTGAGTTGTAAATTAATCATTATTTGTCTTTATTCTTTTAATTTTATTTTCTAAATAGAGGACATGATTAAAATTATGAAAAATATTCCCATAATGTTTGTTAGATATCTTATGCTATTTGTTTTGGGATGATGCCAGTTTCGGGACTATTGGACAAACATGGATCTGCACATGATTGCAACAAAATATTTTTGTTATAATTTTCATTGAAAAATTCAAACGAAAATTGTAACGTTGAAATATTCGTTAGAATTGTTCTCGAAATTTCGCTGTAATATGTTTTCATTGGAATTTCATCATTTTCTTGTAGTAAAAGTATGACTCCAAATCAAACTAAAAAATTCGCACTATATATAATATTGTGTGCAGTTAATTGTTTTGAAAATTGTAGATAATGATACATAATATAACATATTTAATGTAAGTATCATTTAATTTATGATAATTAGTAATTAAAAAATACATATACGTTGAAAAGTCCTTAAATATTTTATTAGTATTATGATAATTAAAGAAGAGGCCAGAATGATGTTCTACTGAAAAGGTAATATTAATACTAAACAAGATGTAAAGATGATGTTCTACGTAATAAAAAGGTAAAACTACACAATGAGAAAGCTTATAACTGACATTCCACTCAAAAATAATAATAAAAAATGATAAAATTAATAAATGTCATATATCAATTGGAGCTAGCGAATGATAAATGTAAAATATACTTGAGATGCACATTTATAAAAAATATATTTATTTTTTTGTCTTAGAAATCGGTATGTTAGTCATAATTTTTTAGTTAAAAAATTAGTTAATTTACACCATTAAATTTCTTAATTTTGAAATACTTATTTTTTTTTTTTTTACCCTTTTATATGTAATATATCATATCATTTCTTTCCCATGATATTTGATTTTACCAATGTTTTGTAAATAAAATAAAAATAATATAATTATTTATATCGATGTAAAATAATATATATATACCAATACCAATTTAAAATAATAAATAGACCTAAAAGAATCTTATAAAATAATTATAGATCCATGTTAATTAAATTAATTTTATTAATTATAAAATAATATTAGATAAACTTGTGGTATATTTTTCTGACATAGATTTGAAATATTCATACTAAGGAAAAAGTCAACTAGATGTAATTGTACAACTATTACCAATATTAAATATGTGAATTAAAACAAAAAAATAAATCAGTTGTATGTTAAACTATTATTCAATTATTGCTTGAAAGGGAACACCATAATGGTTGTAAAAAGTATTTTTTGTGAATATAAACATGAATTAGTTACTTAATATTTTATCAGAACATGGAAATAAATTCAAAAACTTTTAATATTATAAACAATATAAAACTACATTTTTATCAAGTATATTATTACTATCAAACACGTAAAAAGAATGCATTGCATATAATATTCTCTAATTCTTTCAAGAAATAAATATTATTTGTGAATAAAAAAACAAATAAAAAACAAGTAAACCAATAGTAATGCAATGAGGAAAAGAAAAATTCTGAATTTTTTTAGAAAAGTATGAATACTAATATCAAAAAACAAAAAATCTTTTAAAATTACTACTTTTTTTGTTGCTAGCATTTAAGTATATATTCTCTATAAGAAATTAGTTCTCATAAATAATGATTCGATATTATCATAAAATAGACCACAAACTTTAATAATGACTTCATAATAATAAAGTTAACAAATGACTAAGAGTATCATAATATAGTATTAAAATATTTTTGAATGTTGAATAAGTTGTCACTTTTTTATAAGAATTTACAATCATAATTGTGTATTGTGCTCGATCATACGCGCATTTGTTTTAGAGTACATATTTTCATGTAATGTGTGATGATTTCAAAAAAATAATTTAGCATCTTCATAGAAGTACATGATTTTGGAAAATCAAATTTTATTTAGAGATGAAATTCGTTCCCACCTCATGGGGTAAGTACTAATTTGTCTATGTGGAGAGAGAGAGAGAG